TTGTGTCAAATATCGACAAGGTGCATTAGAGCATATCTCAAGTCAGTTGCAAGCGATTTAAGGCCAGCATCACTCAGTTTCTCAATAAACCTTCTCCAGCTACGCTTCTCGTCCTTTTGCAGCCACGTCGAGATCATGTCGTGCACTGGGGTGTGGCTGTGGGAAAGAACTTCGATTCTGGCTGCAGTAAACTCCAGTTGTGACGCCAGGTCCCTCCAGCCGGCTCCCAGCTCATCCTTCACCCTCAACTCCCTCTCCCGGCCATACTCATCCACAAACCTCATGCAAGTCAGTTTCCTCAGGATAACTTCCTTATCTGTTGTTTGTAATAGCTTAATATCAGTCACTATAGAGCATAATGTTATGCTTGTAGAAAAATATAAGTTTAAGTAAGAAGAGTTTAAGTTTTATGCATAGTTGATCGTATGCATTACTTTGTAGCATGACAGGCAGGAAATTTTCACTACGGAATTTTCAAACGCATGCTATTCATTCCTATGTATTGTTTTGGAGATTCTAATATTTAACTTACCAAATATGGGGTAATTTGAGGGGCACTCTACTCGGCTGAGTGGTCTCCCGATTGAACTGCACGGTGTGGATGTGTCAGAAGTGACAGATGAACCTAACAGAAGAGTAAGGAATCTTCATCAAGAATCCTTAAAACTTTAGAGTGCAATAGATTTAGAGGACTCTGCCTTGTCTTTTTCTTTCACATTTCCAGTTGCTTTTTTCTTTCAACATGTATGAGAGCCAGCCAATTGTATCAATGCATTGGGTTGCGAAATTGAGCATGACATCCACATACGTAAAGCAAGCTAAAACTCTCAAATCATTTTTTCATGCTTCAGAACTTACGTTTTGTATAAATGTAGGGAACACATTCGAAGATAAAGTTGACTTCCTCTCCAACTGGGTCCACTGCTCCGCTCAGTGTCATGGAGAGGTTTTTCGTCATCTTAGGAGGCTCGCGGGATTCCCACGTTGCCTTTATTGGGAGGCAAGGGATGCACCGTCCTGGTCTGTAGGCATCGACCAATCTCTGTGTGATCTGTTGCAAAGATTTTATGGTGCAGTTGTTTAGTGTAGAATCATTTCTGGTTAGATGACTAATATCAGTGTGACTAGGGAAGTTGAAGTTTGCTTTTCCTTTGCCTCGTTGCCGGGTTGTATTCTCACGAATGTCAATTAGTCACGCTTAGGAATGTCAACTTCCATCATTCGTAGGAAGTCTAGCTTCCGCTGTGCGCGCAGATTCGTAGGAAGTCTGGCTTCGTGCGCAGTCAGTAGAGCAGGCGCACGAGCGGCCTCAGTCGGACTGTTTACGCGTATATACGCATTGGCTGGCAGGCGCGAGGCAAAATATGCGCGTGCGCATTCCTAGTTTAGGTTTACATAGGTTCGTGGTCATGCTAAAATTTCCTTCAGCTAGTTGGTTCAACGAAAGGAGATATAATGGACAGGTCTGACTTGGTTACCTTTGCTTTCTTTCGAAGATCTGTTATCATCCATTTATCAAGATCTTACGAGAAACAAGAAGTAAACTTATCATACTTGCTCTCAGTGTATTATGAACCCATACCTTGCCCAGAATCACATTTGACTGTGAGTGTACCGTTGATCTTGACCGAGAATTGATCATTTGCGATCCAACCAGACTCTTTGTTGTATTTTCCAGATTTCAGTTGCTGCGGAAAAACCACGACATTAGTAAGATTTACAAAATTTAGCTGATAGCTACAAAAATTATTATTGCTGGGTATACTTACATTAAGATGTTCCTCAAGGTCTCTGGTAACCACCACATCCATATAATGTGTTAGTGGTCCTTCGTTACTGCGGGCAAATAGACTGGTGACATACATGATGTCCCTGTTACGGCTGAACCATTTCGCAATCCCAAAGCGACAGAAATGGGAGAGTTGTATCTTCCCGTAGCTAGAATCAACGTCAAACTGACCGCCTTCGATGGGCATGAAGCATTCTTCCCCCGAGTTTGTTCGCACGAAAGTCAGCGAAGAGGCTACGTCAGGGTGCGCGATGTGGACAGCAGTGCTGTACCTCGACAGTGACTGGAGCAGGCAGTGGCGAGCTGAGCTGAACGCGGTAGACAGCGCTGACAAACTCTGCGTCCTTGTCGCCGTGAATATCAATCACTTCGCTGCAGTTGTTGAGGGACATAAGGGCAACGCGAATCTCTTTCTTGTGGGTGTGTCGGGGAAACGAAATTCTTATTCCATGGTCTTCACATGACCACACGTGTTCCTCTCCTTTGTACACAAATTCGTCCTGGAATCCATCTGCAGAGACAACGATACGCTGCTGCACATTGGTATAACCTAATGCACACCGGATCACACTACTAATTCGGTAGGTAAAAATGTCAATCTATGCACAAGAAGTGCAGTCATCTGTTAAAGCCAAAATATTACCAATTAACATTTACGTAAGTTGGACACAATACATTCATATAGATGGCAATAGGGCCCAGTACAAAAATGCAATTAGGTTTCCATTTTTAGTCAATTTAGCTCTATCTCTGTGTAAGGCCAACTAAAATAACTGGTCGTCATGCAGAGTAAATTTTCTTACACTCAGTGGGAATATCTTGGCTCTGCTGAGAGCTGGCAACGCCCCTGAATTACTTCCTCCGCTTCCTCTTCTTCTTCCAGTCTGTCGGTACTAGTCACTGAAGCATTCCACGAATTCTTGTCTTCTTCCATGTCACTCGATTCAGACTGGCTGGACCTTGCCTTCATTTTGGAGCAAATGTCTGATGGTAACTCATCTTCTTCTATGTCACTCACTACAGACCGACTAGACCCTCTCCTGGTTTCAGAACTCATTTTCAATAGCTTTTTCTTGAGGCTCTTTAACTTTTCTTCCTGTTTGGCTGTCCTCCGTTTCTCTTTCGCCAGTCTTTGGCGCATATCCTGGTTCTCTCTCTTTAGTTCAGAGTTTCGCTCATTACTCTGTGCTAGCTTTCCTTCGTATTTGGTTATTTTGGACTCGAAGTGGTTAGAAGCTGCTTTCATCACCATTTTATTGATCGCTTTCTCTTTGTCGAGCTCTTGCTCTAGATGCTCTTTTTCCCGGTGCACAGACTCGAGGTCTTTCTGTAGCAGGTGTTTTTGCTGCCGCACAGACTCAACCTCATTTCTGAAGCAGTTGGTTTTCACACATCTCCGGCTTTAGCTGAGCAACTGGCAAATCGACTGTGAAAAAGACAATATACAGAGGCCACTGTACATGTGTCAGCATGGCATTATTCTAGTCAGTATAATATACCTTCTTAATACAAGGTATAGTTATAGAAAGCACAGCTTTTTCTCGTAATAAATTTTAGGGTAACTACAATAAGGGAGCTGATGGTACTGGGGTCTGATGCCTTGAAGATCGACTAGCAGGAGCGTCTGTAACTATCTCAGTGTTGGGAGCTATTGTCAATACGATCATGCTTTATGTGAGGAAATTCACACTCGTGTTGGCTCTGAAAAATGTGTTGCATAAGGCTAAACTATTTCCCATTCAGTTTATTTTCATACACAAAATGTTGCTTACTCTCATACACATATCAGTGCCAGTGCCATGCTCTGTGGGGCTACTGGTTTCAGCTCATAATAGTCCCCCACCCCCGGCCTTACCCAGGTCAAGGTGGGTTCCAGGCACAACTCCGTAATCCCTCAGAGTCTTTTCGTCGCTTTCAAAAGGGAGGATCTGGTTCTCTACTGGGATATCCTCCCTCTCCTCAATTACAGTCTTCACGTCACGGATGGTGCAGTCACGAAGACACACCAGGGTCAGCGTTTTCCCGCGAGGCGTGCAAACATGGATGTCTATTTCTTGAGGGACGGCAACAAGATTGAGAGTGTTACCAGCCGATATTCCGCATTCCGTTACTGGTCTTCCACGGTTGACTTTGTCAGAAAGGAGCACGTTATGCAGCAGTAGTCGTTGGTTTGATTGCTCCACGCAAATTTCTGGAGCTCTGGCTATTTTTTCCAAGATGGTTTCAACTGAGTTCAACGGATTGAAGATGAAGGTGACGGTGGTAAATCGCGTTCTGATTGAGACTGGAATATCTCCCTGTGGAACTGAGCTCAGTGTGCAGCCGGCCGAAACACGACACTCCTCCATAGTCTTTGCATCCTCCAGTTCCATGCCTGACAAATACAGCTGATGAGTAGTTGGCAGGTCTGACACGCAATTGATTTTGTCTTTCACCTCTCGTACCGTGTTCGTTTTCTTGGCCGTCACGAAGAATCTGTCGGGTTTTCCGTATACAGAGGCATTGATAAAGACAGGGAACTCATCGGCTGGGACCAGCTGGAGTTCACTACCATCCGTGATCCTGCAGTCGTAAAGAGTTTTGTCATTCTCGAGAAGAGTGTTTCTGTGAAAGAGAGAGTGCCGTTCAATATTGGAGCGACCATGGCCGGAATCAACTAGACTTCTGCAGCCGATCTTAACATCATGGATGGTTACAAAGAGCCCCACATTTGGAAGATCTAGGCTATTTCCTGGCGTTTTGACTGCTAGAGTCAGTTGCTCATTGCGGTGCAGGTATTCAATTCTGAGATGGAGCATCGACTTTTCCGCCTGTTCCCACTGTTCCAATAAACAGTTGTCTTCCATCACCTCCCCATTGTGTAACAGGGTCTGGAAATAGGTGGGAATCTTTTCTCTGTGTTGTATGATTCGCTTGAGCGCTGAAACTTTCATTTGCTTGTCAACGCTCACAATTATCTTCTTCTCAAACCTTGGGGTCACTGAGGTTTTGCCGGCTTGTGATAGAATCCCGACAAAGACATCCATTTCTCCCCTGATTTCGAGGTACATGCACACCTCTAGTTTTGTGTGAGATCTACCACCGTTTAAAATATCCTTCAGTGACATCGTATGCTCGACCAGTATACCCTTACAAAAGAGACGCTGACATTTTTTCGGCACACCTTCCTTCTCCTCAATAATCTGAGTCAGTGTTTCCACCGTGTCACCGAGTGTAACGCTGCAGCTGAGTTCTTTACCAGTGTGAGTGGTGACTTTCACGTTCACTGTCTTCTCACCTACAGGCTGGCCGACCAACAGGTGAAGGGTTGATGCCCCCTGGATGTTATAATCAGCCACTGTTGGGCTGTCTTCGAGAACCTTCCCACAGAATATAAGCCTTTTGCTGGTCCACCGGATACCCCTTCAGCTGCCGTATTTTCTGCTTTAGTTCTAGAATCGTCGAGTCGCTTTGAACCTGTACTGTAAAAGTGACTCCTCTGAATGTACTGATGGATATGTCAACCGGCCCTCCACCAGGCAAACTGAGAGAGAGTTCGAGGGTCGACCCATTTCTAACCCCAAGTTCCTTAAGAGTCCCATGCTGCTGTAGGCGCCTGCCGTTGAAGAACAGTTTCTGTTGATGAATAGGGATCCCCTCTCTCCCCTCGATGAGAGATTTGACTACTTCAACTGAATCTCTCTCTCCCACGTTGAAAGCTAGTGTATTTCCAGTCAGCGCTCTGACAAATATTTGGTCATCAACAGTGAGTTAAACTTTGCTTCCAGGGCTAATGGAGTACTGCTGCAGTGTCTTGTCATCTCTGAGTTTTTGCTGACGAAAGGAGAGAGACTGGATATTGGCCGGAGTTACGGTTAATTCTGCTATCATCTCTTTCACTTGCTTGACAGTAAAGTCTGCCCTGACTTGCAACTTTGCGATAGGTTCACCCCTGCTCTGATTGTCTACTACTTCAATGTTATACTGGCGCTTTCGACGTATGACAACAAGTGCGTCGTCGCTTTTTAGCTCGTAATCTCTCACCTTTCCGGCGTCTTGCACGAGCTTTCCACCTAGTATGAGCCGTTGCTCGTCGGGATGGACTCCGATCTTATTCTGTAGCAGCTTCTTCACGTCCTCGATGGAGTCAGCGGTGTCCACGGCTACCAACACCCCGCTCTGTCCCCCTATCACGTCCACGGTCACCGCTATCTTCATTCCAAGATAAAGTGTGTCTCCTTCGTGTAGCTGATAGTGGTGAAGGGTCTTGGTGTCTTCTAGTGGCTCTAGGTTTCCAGTGCTGGACGGGGCACGGTAGAGACGCCAGTTTACGCCGCTTTCCGGAACGCGCAGACGATCCAATACCCGCCATTTTACGCTGCCGACGCGAACGTACTCCCCAACTCGCAGGCAAAGGGTCCTCCGGCGTGCTAGTATCTTCACATAGATTTTCATTCTCAACCGACGGCTCTCTGGACATCAGTTTTCTTTTCCGCTTGTTGCGTTTTGGTGCACACCCTTTACGTCAATGTTTTGCCCCGCCTCGCCGCCGCTGATTGCATGCCTTATACCTAGCTTACCACAAACAGGAAGTCTTATCTTGACTATTATACAGCCCTTGCAAAAATGGCAACGAATCCTCCACTGAGTCTAGTTCCTCGCCGGCTCTCCATGCCTGGTAAGACCCTCCCTCCATCCATCCCTCTCATCATCTCCAGTCAGGACAATTGGGACCCTCTCTCCTGCCAACTGGAGGCTCACAAACAAGACCCCAACAACCACAGCCTCAAGCTAGTTGACGATGCAGTCGAACTACTTCGTAGTATCGACAAACCACTGGCCGTCCTCTCCATCTGTGGGCCCTACCGTTCAGGCAAGTCTTACTTCATCTCTCGCGCGCTAGGCAGCCCTGGAGCCTTCAAGCTGGGCCACAGCATGCAGGCCTGCACTCGAGGCATCTGGATGGCCACCGCCGTCTTAGAGTGCCAAGATTTTGCTGTTGTCTTCCTGGATACGGAGGGTATCGATGCAGTGGGAGCCTCCGAGACCATGGCCATGAGCTTGCTCACCCTCACCACACTCCTCAGCTCCTTCCTCATCTACAACTCCAAGAAGGTGCCTCAGAAGGTGGACCTCGACAAGATGAGGTGTTTCTCCCAACTCTCAGTGTCCCTCCTTGCTCAGTGTGGTGAGTCAATGCCAAACGAGGCAAAGAGAGTGTTCTTCCCTCATTTTCTGTGGCTGCTGCGGGACGTGAGTCTCAAGATGACTGACAGGGAAGGTAAGGAGCTGGCGCCGACTCAGTTTCTTCACACCCGGGTCCTTGCATCTGAATCGGGAGAGCTCACAGACCTGGGCAATTCTCTAGTCAGTCTTTTCCCCTCTCTGGAGTGCGCCACTCTCCCCATACCGTCCACCAAGAGAGACATCATCCGCGGCATAGTGCAACAGCAAGACAAGCTCAAACCAGCCTTCAACGCAGCAGTCGATGCTCTGATCCAGCAAGTCCTCCAGAAAGTAGCTCCAAAGAAGGCCATTGATGGCACTACTACAGTGACAGGAAAGGCTCTGGCAGCTCTAGCTGGAGGCTACGTGGAGGCAGTCAACAGGCCAGGAGCTCTACCAGACCTGGACCAGGGCTGGCAGGCAGTGGTGAGACTGGAGCTGAAGGAATGCTCCTACAAGCTGGTGAGGGAGTACGAGAGGGAAATGGAGGAGGCTTTGGAAGGCAACCTGCCAATGGAAGAGAGAAATCTTCTGAGAATCCACAGACAGACACTGAACCGAAAAGAAAAAGTCTCAAAGAAGAAATTTTCCGCGTTAACCCTCTACACTCCAAGGATGAGGAAATCCGGCCATTCCTTGGTGAGTTGGAACGGGATATTGTGCAATGGAAAGAATCTAGCAATGGTGACGGAATGAGGACAGTATCTGGAGGTGTTCTGTATCAGTTTACGACACAAAACTTCAAGGCTTCAAAGGAGTACTGCGAAAGTCTGTTTGATGAACTTGTAAAGAGCAGCAAGGTGCAAAATAAGTTGAAACGGCTCTAAAGGACGCGCTACCCCTCGATGTCGCAAAGGAAGTGAGTGAAATAACTGCAGAGTACCAAACTAGAGCTGTAGGACCGGCTGCCAGTGAAATTCTGGAGACGGGACTCTCTGAACTGAACCAACTCTCTGACATTTTGAAGAAGATTCCTGGACAGCCACAAAATCGTAGAAGTGAAAGTTGGGAGTGATAGGGTTAAATTGAGTTGGGAACCTCCAGAACAGAATCTAGAGGCAGTCGAGGAGTATGTTGTGTACAAGAGAGTTAAGGGGGGAGAGTGGGAGGAGGCTGGGAGGACCGAAAAAACAAGGTTTATGGCTAGAGGACTAAAAACATGGACTGACTATGAGTTTCAAGTGATAGCTGTGAATAAAGCAATGATGAGCCTTGCACATGGTGTGTCACATAAGACAGAACCGTCAGCTGTTACTGGAGGCACTTTGGGTGGTGCCCTTGGCTCATTGTTTTTGCCTATTGTCATAGAAAGTGCACGAAAAGGATTTAAAGATAGTGAAAAATTTGAACATGCATTTGGGCATATGTCAAACACAAAGATTTGGCTACTGCTAGGGCTCAGCGTTGCATCTCTTCCTGTGAGCATTGCTCTAGCACCAGTAACTGCCCCGCTTATTGGAATAGCTATAGCTGCTTATGAAAAACTTGATCAGCCTGAAGAATCTGATGATGAGCCACAAGTGGAAATATCCACGCTCTAAATTACTGTTTGTGTTTATTGTATCACTATTATGTTTTTTTAGGGCTACCTCAGTATCTGACATGACAGTGGAACATTGTATTCATACTTGAATGATGTCATCATTGTTATAATTGTGGTCACATGTACATACTACATAATTGGCGAGCGGGAGCGAGCCAACCTAGTCGTTCCTTCGAGCGGAATTTTCGGTATAATTATAATTGGTGAGCGGAAGCGAGCACTCTGAAAAGAAGGCGACAAAGATGCTTTTCCACTGAGACAAGAGAGACTCAACTTTGAGACAAGAGAGACTTGCCGGCCTACTTGGTCCTGTGCAATGTATCTCACTGTTTTGTGCACACACAAGAGTGACTCATACGAGACCCCATTTGTAAGCTCGCTTCCGCCCGCCAAAAATGCCATGCGCATTCGCCTACTTATCGTTCGTACGTCGTGTAAGTGCGCATGCGCGGCTTTGTAAGCGCTTATTTTAATGCGAAACTGTTTTACACACACGGTGCCTCGCGATATGCGCCGATCGATCTAGCCAGCTAGAGAACTCTCCTCCATTCGACAGCATGCGCTGCAACCTTCGGTGACTGACCGAGGCTGTATATTCTACCTCTTCCCAATCTTCATGGTTCCAATGTGCAACTTGCAAATACGCTAGGATTGATCGTGAACATACTGCTGCATGCAGCGTAAGGTAAGTACCGTTCTGTTCACCTGCTCACCGTTCTGGCAATATACAGTACGCATGTAACGGCGACAGGTATATACATCTGTCTTGCTCCACGAAAGGAAAGTTGTGCGCTGACGGCACGTTATGCAGCCCGAACATCGCGGGCGAATCCCAAGTTGGGTCGCTCCCGCTCGCCAACAATGTTCAACATTTCCACTAGTAGTTAGATGATGAGTCTATGCAGATTTGGGTGCTGCATAATTTACCCTCGGCGCGCATGCGCTTGAAGGTTATAGTACTTGGTTCGTAAGTGTGTCTGTCCGTCTGTCCGTCTGTCTGTTACCACGTTTTCTGCGACTACGCGCAACGAGATACAAAATAGCGATACCAACGGGTTCGTCGCTACACTGGCTTCATTTTAATGTGGTGATTTTCCTGAAACGACTGCGTTCCAGACATATGGCGTGAAAACAAGCGAAAAAGCCAACGCGCGGTCGATCGCGCACGCGCCCTCTCCTGCAGGCTATATAGCTATAATTATAGCGCGCACGCGTAATGTCAATTAATCGCCGGAGCATGCGCTTGGTTGATCCAAGGCCTCCTGCCAGTTTTGATCTCTGTCCCCTATGGATAAACGATAAACATGCTGAGCAAGCAATAGTTCAGGTGGCGAGCAGTTTGTGGTTGCGGCCTTGCCTTCCCATCTATAAAACGTCTGGCGAGAGCATTGAAACACAGAAGAACAGATAGATTGAATAAAGCAAATATGAGAGCCTCTGAAACACCTGAGCTATTGCTCTAACCGCTAATGCAACTACCCTGTGTTACGGTGAGACTCGTGTTACTGGCTCCGTCGATAACGCACGGCCCAGCATACAGCGATGCTACAACTCGCTAGTTTACCGCCGAGGGTTTGCACTTTAGTGCTTTTCATTAACCCTCGGCGCGCATGCGCAGCGAGGGTTACAGTAGTTGGGTTTGTCTGTCTGTCTGTCTGTTTGTTACTCTCAATCTCACTTCTCGAATGTCTGTTCGTCTCACAAACGATACGACCTACTTAACGGGCAATGAAGGTCAGAAATTTCGAACGGTTTTGTCTGAAAATGTTTCGTTGCAAATCTAGAGCGCTTCCGCCATTGAACGGCTAATGCTAGTCGGCCATTTTTATCGCTGCCGAAAATGCGCATGCGCTTATATCTCGGGTCCGCTTGCTCTGTGTATCTTGAAGGCACGAGAAGTCACAACTAAGGGCGTGTATCGACTCCCACGTGCTATCGACTACTGTAGCTAGCCCGTGTCAGACGCTCCTAGCGGGAGACCATGAGTATACTACATACTAATAGCAGTGGTGCCCAGTTCGCCGAGGGTTTGCACTTTAGTGCTACCCTCGGCGCGCATGCGCAGCGAGGGTACTGTAGTTGGGTTTGTCTGTCTGTCTGTTACTTTCAATCTCACTTCTCGAATGTCTGTTCGTCTCACAAACGATACGACCTACCTAACGGGCAATGAAGGTCAGAAATTTTGAACGGTTTTCTCTGAAAATGCTTCGTTGCAAAGCTAGAGCGCTTCCGCCATTGTACGGCTAATGTTAGTCGGCCATTTTTATCGCTGCGGAAAATGCGCATGCGCTTATATTTTGAACAGGCTCGGGTCCGCTTGCTCTGTGTATCTTGAAGGCACAAGAAGTCACAACGAAGGGCGTGTATCGACTCCCACAGTAGCTAGCCCGTGTCAGACGCTACTAGCGGGAGACCACGAGTATACTACATACTAATAGCAGCCCATACCATCAATTAGCGGTACCGCGCATGCCCAGTTCGCCGAGGGTTTGCACTTTAGTGCTTTTCATTGGGTTTGTCTGTCTGTCTGTCTGTCTGTCTGTCTGTCTGTCTGTCTGTTACTCTCAATCTCACTTCTAGAGTGTCTGTTCGTCTCACAAAGGATACGACCTACCTAACGGGCAATGAAGGTCAGAAATTTCGAACAGTTTTCTCTGAAAATGCTCCGTTGCAGAGCTAGAGCGCTTCCGCCATTGTACGGCTAATGCTAGTCGGCCATTTTTATCGCTGCGGAAAATGCGCATGCGCTTATATTTTGAACAGGCTCGGGTCCGCTTGTTCTGTGTCTGTGTATCTTGAAGGGACAAGAAGTCACAACGAAGGGCATGTATCGACTCTCGCATGCTATCTATATACTACTGTAGCTAGCCCGTGTCAGACTATCTGCGAGCTACTAGCGGGAGACCACGAGTAAACGCATACTAATAGCAGCCCAGCCCATCAATCAGTGGTACCTCGCATGCCCAGTTCGCCGAGGGTTTGCACTTTAGTGCTTTTCATTGGGTCTGTCTGTCCGTGTGTCTGTTACTCTCAATCTCACTTCTCGAATGTCTGTTCGTCTCACAAACGATACGACCTACTTAACGGGCAATGAAGGTCAGAAATTTCGAACGGTTTTCTCTGAAAATGCTCCGTTGCAAAGCTAGAGCGCTTCCAGCATTGTATGGCTAATGCCGGTAGTCGCCATTTTATCGCTGGCGGATAATGCGCATGCGCTTATATTTAGCACAGGCTTACCTCGACCGGGTCCGCTTGCTCCTTCTATCTTGAAGGTACAAGAAGTCACAACAAATTGCGTGTATCGACTCTCGCGTGCTATCTACTACTGTAGCTAGCCCGTGTCAGACTCTCTGTGAGCTACTCACGGGAGACCCCGAGTAAGCGCATACTATACTAATAGCCCAGCCCATCAATTTTAGGGGTACCGCACATGCGCAGTTCGCCGAGGGTTTGCACTTCGTTACCCTCGGCGCGCATGCGCAGCGAGGGTACTGTAGTTAACCCTCGGTGCGCATGCGCGGCGAGGGTACAGTAGTTGGGTTTGTCTGTCTGTCTGTCTGTTACTCTCAATCTCACTTCTGGAACGCCTGTTCGTCTCACAAACGATACGACCTACTTAACGGGCAATGAAGGTCAGAAATTTCGAACGGTTTTCTCTGAAAATGCTCGTTGCAAAGCTAGAGCGCATCCAGCATTGTATGGCTAATGTCGGTAGTCGCCATTTTATCGCTGGCGGATAATGCGCATGCGCTTGTATTTAGCACAGGCGGCTTACCTCGACCGGGTCCGCTTGCTCTGTCTATCTTGAAGGCACAAGAAGTCATCTCGCTCGCGTGCTTGTATCTACTGTAGCTAGCCCGTGTCAGACTCTCTGCGAGTCTACTATCGCCGAGGGTTTTGCACTTTAGTGCTTTTCATTGGGTCTGTCTGTCTGTCAGTGTCTGTTACTCTTCATCTCACTTCTCGAATGTCTGTTCGTCTCACAAACGATACGACCTACTTAACGGGCAATGAAGGTCAGAAATTTCGAACGGTTTTCTCTGAAAATGCTCCGTTGCAAAGCTAGAGCGCTTCCAGCATTGTATGGCTAATGCCGGTAGTCGCCATTTTATCGCTGGCGGATAATGCGCATGCGCTTATATTTAGCACAGCTACTCGACCGGGTCCGCTTGCTCTTCTATCTTGAAGGTACAAGAAGTCACAACAAATTGCGTGTATCGACTCTCGCGTGCTATCTACTACTGTAGCTAGCCCGTGTCAGACTCTCTGTGAGCTACTCACGGGAGACCCCGAGTAAGCGCATACTATACTAATAGCCCAGCCCATCAATTTTAGGGGTACCGCACATGCGCAGTTCGCCGAGGGTTTGCACTTCGTTACCCTCGGCGCGCATGCGCAGCGAGGGTACTGTAGTTAACCCTCGGTGCGCATGCGCGGCGAGGGTACAGTAGTTGGGTTTGTCTGTCTGTCTGTCTGTTACTCTCAATCTCACTTCTGGAACGCCTGTTCGTCTCACAAACGATACGACCTACTTAACGGGCAATGAAGGTCAGAAATTTCGAACGGTCTTCTCTGAAAATGCTTCGTTGCAAAGCTAGAGCGCATCCAGCATTGTATGGCTAATGTCGGTAGTCGCCATTTTATCGCTGGCGGATAATGCGCATGCGCTTGTATTTAGCACAGGCGGCTTACCTCGACCGGGTCCGCTTGCTCTGTCTATCTTGAAGGCACAAGAAGTCATCTCGCTCGCGTGCTTGTATCTACTGTAGCTAGCCCGTGTCAGACTCTCTGCGAGCTACTTCGCCGAGGGTTTGCACTTTAGTGCTTTTCATTGGGTCTGTCTGTCTGTCAGTCTGTCTGTTACTCTTCATCTCACTTCTCGAGTGTTCTTTCGTCTCACAAAGGATACCACTTACTGAACGGGCAATGAAGGTCAGAAAGTTCGAACGGTTTTCTCTAAAAACGCTCCGTTGCAAGGCTAGAGCGCTTCCACCATTGTACGGCTAATACGTAGTCGGCCATTTTTATCGCTGCGGAAAATGCGCATGCGCTTATATTTAGCACAGGACCGGGTCTGCTTGCTCTGTGTATTTTGAAGGCACAAGAAGTCACAACGAAGGGCGTGTATCGACTCTCGCATGCTATCTACTACTGTAGCTAGCCCGTGTCAGACTCTCTGCGAGCTATATACTAGCGGGAGACCGCGAGTAAACGCATACTAATATACCGCGCATGCGCAGTTCGCCGAGGGTTTGCACTTCAGTGCTTTTCATTATTACAGTGATGGGGATGGTATATACCTAGCGTCATAAATATATGGGGCTATGATAGGGAAAGTTTTTCATTGTCTCTTTCTTCAGATTAAACATCCATTACTCAAAAACTAACTGATACCCCGAGCCATTAGACAATCGGCCCTATGTAGCAAGCTAACAATGTTAGAGAGTGGCACACCAGGCAACAATAATAGATTGTGTGATGGGTTCGGGGTATATATATACCAAGTGTTCTCACAATCTGTTTGTCAACCATGGTTCATATCCCATGCCTCGTTGTACCATCCCAATATTCGAAATACACGTATACTTGTATATCAAAGCGGCTATAAGGTTACTTTCACGAACATGTATGTTTGCGACTGAGACAAGTATGTAGCCCTGTCGAGATAATAAACATCCCATAATCCACACTGTTCATTGTCATTGGCGACGAGCTCCAGCATATTGACTCGCTTTTTGACCTCTCTTCTTTACCCCCAGATTCGATGAGTTATTAATCGGACGCCGTGATGCTCGCGCATGCGCATTGGCAAAAATCGTGTGCTGAGAGCCGGCGGCGCGCACACTGTGGAAAACGAAGAGCCAGCGGACAACTACTCAACAAGTGCACGGGGACAGTGATACAAGATGACCACGATAAAAGGAGATGGTTAATTATATGCTGGGCCGTGCGTTATCGACGGAGCCAGTAAAAAATATATAATTATACTGACAGACCTTTCTCTCTTCTTTGACGGCTTTCTTTCTCTCTCTTCTCTCGTCTGTTGTGTTGGTCTTGTCACTGGCACTATTACGGGAAGTGCATGCAAGAAACCGATAATAAAACAGTACACATCAACACAATGTAGATCACTCTGCCTAGAGAAAAAGTATGTATTGTGGGTTGGAATCCCACCCAGGGAGAAACTCTTGTTGTCTTGGGTGCCACATCCATTGCGCAGTGTTTACACATGAAAAGCATGTGTCTATAGCTTTACTATATAGCCATAGAGAAAGAAATCACCCTCCACCCAAGTACACACACGACACAAGCAGCACACTTGCACATAAAAAGGTAGGACACCAGGTGCCCAGTCTTGAGAACAGTCTTGAGAACTGGGGCGGTGGGTTAAAGAGTCTTTTATGGCAACCCTACACATGTACACCAGTGTATTATCGAATGAGGATGTGGTATGAGCACCAGGAAATACGAAGTTCTATGTGTCCGTCAACGCCGTGCTCTCCTACATATCCTGTCCACTGCTAGCTAGCCACACCATGCATGAGAGCATCTTTCACTCATCAGCGAATGGTACAAGAATAGCTGTTGTTGGACACGCCTTATGTCATGCGTAGAAAAAGTAGGTGGGGCTCGTGTCTCTGTAGAGAGCTGAAAGCTAGCTAGAGTTAGCTTGCTACAGTGGGGGCTGCAGCCAGCTTATAAGCTATTTCTACTCGCTCTCCGACAGTATACCTAAGAAGTGAAGCCGCGGCCGAACAGCGACAGATACGCTACCTGGACGCCTGGAGCGGCCCGAGACACGCCAGGGTGTTTGGACGACACACCCGGTGGCCTACACTCTCTCAGAGCAACAGCAGCCCATATCTGCGAGCTGATCCATGAGAATCAGACTGGTATTGTAACACTTAACCAGCCACGGACATATAATGTCTCCAGAGCTTCCATAATAAGTGCGATTCGACTGAGCCATAAGAAATTGAACTATATATGAGGCTATAGAACTAGGCATACTTTATACATGATTTCTGATATGGAGATACCCATGGCGTCCAAAGGGAAACTTTCTAAGCTGGAAAAGGTGTGTTGAAAGTAAAGTTGTGTCCTCAAATGTTATGGGGGAGACCATTGGAAGAAGAAGTAACCACGCACACGAGAGGTCTTCTTCATCAGTGAAGTTGAACGTAAAACATTTTCTGCTGCTTATGCAGTAATATATACTCAGTGTGTGAATATTCCTTACATCAGCGCTATGTAGGACATCTTATGGAGCTATATCTACCATCTACTACAGGAGTATAGTCCTGTTGGTGTCACCATCCTTGATATTCCCCTTAAATTAGTATATTATACCCTTTGCTAAAAAGTAAGAGATTATACTTGGTAATTCCTTCACTGAAGGTCTCCATAGTTGACTGAGTTGTGCACAGTCATACATAACATCCATGGCATCCTCATGCATCTAAACCAAGATATGGGCTATGAATGGCTTTCTGTCTCAGTGAGGCATCTTCATGTTCACCTCTAATTTTTTCATGACGTGACATCCACACACTAATTTTTCAACTATAATAAACACTGCTAGCTACTAATGTACAAAATGTCAAAACCGAGTTTTTTGAAGTCCTTCATTCAATTCAGAGAGTAAAAGTTACCGATTCAAAAACATCAGTTCCCACAGGACGTTCTCCATGCCCCCACAGTCCCCATTGGATAGTGCGAACTTTGTCAGGAGTGAGTGGCGAACGGTACGGAAACTCTGTAAACGGAACACCATTCACAGATATGGCAAAACTCAATTGCTGGGCAGTGATGTGGACAGCAACTCTTGTCGATGCATAGCCACTCATTGCAGCATGTCTATAAGGAATTGCAGGAAGTATAAAATCATGGGAAACAATAGTACAATGTCAAAATACAAAACGACACTAACTGCAAGTTACTCAAGACTTAATTTCAGAGTAGCTCCTGGATAATTAGTGTACAATTAAAGTGTGTGTGCCAAGGTCTTGTTGATTGGGACTATCTATTCTCTTGTGGCTTATAGTTAGATAGTGCTTATACAAACAGGAAGTCTTACCCTGACTACAGCGGCCCGCAGGGGCGTAGCATTGAGGCAGAGGAGGCAGTTGCCTCCTCCTTTGGCCAACCCACGATTACAACTTTTTGCAGCGTAACCAACGACGAGCACCAGCAGCGAGAGCATGCAATGCAGTTAGGGTTACATCAACCAAGAGCGCACATCTCCTCCGGAGTGTCTTACAAGCCTGGGATCGCTCCGAGCAACGCCACATTGCTCTGGCCTTTGGAGATGATCGTGAGTAAACATTGACATTGCGCAACATAATTGCCATGCCCTACTCATGAATAATGCGAATACCTTGCCGCCCCTAAGATTCAATCCTGGCTACGCCCTTGCAAAAATGGCAACAAATCCTCCACTGAGTCTAGTTCCTCGCCAGCTCTCCATGCCTGGTAAGACCCTCCCTCCCTCCATCCCTCTCATCATCTCCAGTCAGGACAACTGGAACCCTCTCTCCTGCCAACTGGAGACTCACAAACAAGACCCTAACAACCACAGCCTCAAGCTAGTTGACGACGCAGTCGAACTACTTCGTAGTATCGACAAGCCACTTGCCGTCCTCTCCATCTGTGGGCCCTACCGTTCAGGCAAGTCTTACTTCATCTCTCGCGCGCTAGGCATCCCTGGAGCCTTCAAGCTGGGCCACAGCATGCAGGCCTGCACTCGAGGCATCTGGATGGCCACCGCTGTCCTAGAGTGCCGGGATTTTGCCGTTGTCTTCCTGGATACGGAGGGTATCGATGCCGTGGGAGCCTCTGAGACCATGGCCATGAGCTTGCTCACCCTCACCACCCTCCTCAGCTCCTTCCTCATCTACAACTCCAAGAAGGTGCCTCAGAAGGTGGACCTCGACAAGATGAGGTGTTTCTCCCAACTCTCAGTGTCCCTCCTTGCTCAGTGTGGTGAGTCAATGCCAAACGAGGCAAAGAGAGAGTTCTTTCCACATTTTCTGTGGCTGCTGCGGGACGTGAGTCTCAAGATGACTGACAGGGAAGGTAAGGAGCTGGCGCCAACCGAGTTTCTTCACACCCGGGTCCTTGCATCTGAATCAGGAGAGCTCACAGACTTGGGCAATTCTCTAGTCAGTCTTTTCCCCTCTCTGGAGTGCGCCACTCTCCCCATACCGTCCACCAAGAGAGACATCATCCGTGGCATAGTGGAGCAGCAAGACAAGCTCAAACCAGCCTTCAACGCAGCAGTCGATGCTCTGATCCAGCAAGTCCTCCAGAAAGTAGCTCCAAAGAAGGCCATCGATGGGACTACTACAGTGACTGGAAGGCTCTGGCTGCTCTAGCTAGTAGCTATGTGGAGGCAGTCAACAGGCCAGGAGCTCTACCAGACCTGGACCAGGGCTGGCAGGCAGTGGTGAGGCTGGAGCTGAAGGAAGCCTCCTACAAGCTGGTGAGGGAGTACGAGAGGGAAATGGAGGCGGCTTTGGAAGGCAACCTGCCAATGGAAGAGAGAAATCTTCTGAGAATCCACAGACAGACACTGAACCGAAAAGAAGAAAGTCTCAAAGAAGAAATTTTCCGCGTTAACCCTCTACACTCCAAGGATGAGGAAGTCCGGCCAGTCCTTGGTGAGTTGGAACGGGATATTGTGCAATGGAAAGAATCTAGCAATGGTGACGGAACGAGGACAGCATCTGGAGGTGTTCTGTATCAGTTTACGACACAAAACTTCAGGGCTTCAAAGGAGTGCTGCGAAAGGCTGTTTGACGAACTTGTAAAGAGCAGCAAGGTGCAAGAAAAAGTTGAAACGGCTCTAAAGGACGCGCTACCCCTCGATGTCGCAAAGGAAGTGAGTGAAATAACTGCAGAGTACAAAATTAGAGCTGTAGGACCGGCTGCCAGTGAAATTCTGGAGACGGGACTCTCTGAATTGAACCAACTCTCTGACATTTTGAAGAAGATTCCTGGACAGCCACAAAATGTAGAAGCGAAAGTTGGGAGTGATAGGGTTAAATTGCGTTGGGAACCTCCAGAACAGAATCTAGAGGCAGTCGAGGAGTATGTTGTGTACAAGAGAGTTAAGGGGGGAGAGTGGGAGGAGGCTGGGAGGACCGAAAAAACAAGGTTTATTGCTAGAGGACTAAAAACATTTACTGACTATGAGTTTCAAGTGATCGCTGTGAATAAAGCAATGATGAGCCTTGCACATGGTGTGTCAGATGCGACAGACTTCTCAGCTGTTGCTGAGGCACTATGTGTGGTGCCCATTGGCTCATTGTTTTTGCCTTTTGTCATAGAATGTGCACGAAAAGGATTTAAAGATAGTGAAGATATATTTGATCATATGGGAAACATGTCACTCACAAAGGGTATGCTACTGCTAGGGCTCAGCGTTGCAGCTCTTCCTGTGAGCATTGCTCTAGCACCAGTAACTGCCCCTCTTATTGGAATAGCTTCAGCTGTTGATGCAAAACATCAAGAGCCTGAAGAATCTGATGATGACTTATAAGTGGAAATATCTACGCTCTAATACACTATGTTTGTGTTTCTGTTTTTTACCGTATCACTATTATGCTGTTTGCATACAAATAGCTATACCTCAGTATCTGTCAGTGGAGTGGAACATTGTATTCATACTTGAATGATGTCATCATTTTGTTATCATTGTGGTCACGTGTACGTACTATATAATAGTTAGACCACGAGTCTATGCAGATTTTGGTGCTGCAATTATTATAGGGATTGGGATGGTATATACCTAACATCATAAATATATGGGGCTATGAGGGAAAGTTTTTCACTGTCTCTTTCTTCAGATTCAACATCCATTACTCAAAAACTAAAATGGATAACACTGATACCCCGAGCCTATCAGACAATTGGCCCTATCTATAGCTTGAAAAGACAGGTAGCTAACAATGCTAGAGTGGCACATCAGGCAACAGATTGTGTGATGGGTTCGGGGTATATATGTATCAAGTGTGCTCACAATATGTTTGTAAACCATGGTTCATATCCCATGCCTCCTTGTACCATTCCAATATTTTTTGTCACCCACGAGCCGGCCTACCGATTCCGGTTCCGACGCCGTGGTGCTCGCGCATGCGCATTGGCAAAATCGCGCGAAGAGCGAGCGGTGGATCAACAAATGACACTGACAGTGATACAAGATGACCACGATAAAAGGAGATGGCTGAGATAGCATTAGACGACAGTTGCAGTCTTTCTCTGACAAAAGTTAAGTCTCTCTTGTCTCAGCTGCTCAGAGTGGAATAGCATCTTTGTTGCCTTCTTCTCAGAGCGACGAAACTGATGGACAGAAAATGGATTCATAATAATCACGTCTTTTTAAAATTATAATTATACTGACAGACCTTTCTCTCTTCCTTGACAGCTCTCTTTCTCTCTCTTCTCTCGTCTGTTGTCTCACTTCTTGGTCTTGTCACTGGCACTATTACGGGAAATGCAAGCAACTGATCATAAAACAGCCACCACATAACTACAATGTAGATCACTCTGCCTAGAGAGGAGTACGTATTATGGGTTGGAATCCCACCCAGGGAGAAACTCTTGTTGTCTTGGGTGCCACACCCATTGCCCAGTGTTTACACATGAAAAGCATGTGTATAGCTTTACTAGCCATAGAGAATAACAAGAAAGAAATCACTCTCCACCCAAGTACACCCACGACACAAGCAGCACACTTGCACATAAAAAGGTAGGACGCCAGGTGCCCAGTCTTGAGAACTGAGGTGGTGGGTTAAAGAGTCTTTTATGGTCAACACAGTGTATATACACCATACTATTATCCAATGAGGATGTGGTATGAGCACCAGGAAATACTAAGTATTCGTACTATTTATGATTCTAAATATACAGTGTCTTAGTAACTTTTGTAGCTGCTATATAATGTTAATGCCGTGTCATCAAAAACCGACTCTGTTTGGCAGGTTTCTCCTTGGAGAGAGGGCCAGGGATGGCCCCCAGAGGAAGTCCAGTCTTCCTGGACAGGGGTATGGGGCTGTGTCCTCTGGACGGCTCCTCTATCTTAGTGGGGTGGTTGTACAGGTTGGAGTAGGTACTGAGGAGAGATAGAGAAGGAGTAGAAGGAGAGAGAGTGTGTGTAAGGGGGAGAAGGGGGAAGGGGAGAAGAGACAATTCCTGTCATCTGTCCAGCAAAGATTAATGCCTATATGGCAAATTCACATAAACTGCTTGCTATTCACATAATGGTGTATTACTACTATCATGCAAATACCAATGAGGCCGCGAGGCAAGAGACAAAGCAAACTACACACACCTGAGGATGCTTTCACAGTCCCATTCTGGTTTTCCCACTTCCACCCTCACCACTTCCCTCTCCTCCCCTCCTCCATCTCCTCCCCACTCTCCCTCTCTTCACCAGAATCACAGCTGGAATAACCTTCTTCCCCAACCCCTGCCTCCTCTCTTTGCCTCGCCTCCTCTCCACCCTCCCTCATTCCCCCATTCCTTTCCCTAATTCCATCAGATGACATTCCTCCTTCTGTCACTCTGTATCAAGATGGAGGAAAGATTGCCCAAGAACTACATCGTAAGCCAAAATCATTGGTAAACGAAACATGAGTAATTCTATTTCGCTCACACGTAACATTATCATTGATGGTATAGATATACATACTGTATGTGGAGTGTGTACAATTGTAAAACTATCACACGTATTCTTGGCGAGCGACGGTAAGCACTTAAAGTTTACGCTTGCATATTTTTTAACCCTCGGCGCGCATGCGCAGCGAGGGTTACTGTAGTTGGGTTTGTCTGTGTCTGTGTCTGTTACTCTCAATCTCACCTCTCGAACATCTGTTCGTCCCAGAAACGATACGATCTACTTAACGGGCAATGAAGGTCAGAAAATTTGTGGGATTTTCTCTGAAAATGCTCCGTTGCAAAGCTAGAGAGCTTCCAGCATTGTATGGCTAATGCCGTAGTCGCCATTTTATCGCTGGCGGATAATGCGCATGCGCTTATATTTAGCACAGGCTTACCTCGACCGGGTCCGCTTGCTCTGTCTATCTTGAAGGCACAAGAAGTCACAACGAATGGCATGTATCGACTCTCGCGTGCTACTTTGCCGAGGGTTTGCACTTTAGTGCTTTTCATTTTATTCAGTGTCGGTATACATGGGATAATTTAACTAAACAACAAGGCCCAACAAACTCTTGTTTTATTTCAGCCCTTTTACACATTCCCTTTGTATGTATCTGCTCACAGGTTGACTTTCTCAGTGAAGTTCTCGTGGAAGTCCGTGAGAGCCATGTCCAGTAGCCACTTGTCTCCCTCTCTTCCTCCACCTCAGGAGCTCCCAGTTCTGAGTCATCGTACTCCGTCATGAACTGGGGACAATGTCATTGAGAAGACTTTCACATTACGTGCACATAATCATACTGTATGTTAGTACACGCATTCTGTCTTGGTGTGAGTTCAAATATAATTCAGGACACCTCTTTTTATGTGACCTCCAATTATTAGTTGGTTTGTTGCCACTGCTAATTATTAGGTCCCACCCCCCACCCCCCCTAATAAAAGACCAACTGTCCTGGAAAATGTAGCCACATGAAGAGTGTAAGGCAGTGAATGGCCAAACACCAGGTAGCTACATGAAGAGTGTAAGGCAGTGAATGCCCAAACACCAGGTTGATAGTGTATTATTAATAAAACACACACCTTTTCAAATCTCTGATCCAACTGTGTTAATCCTGAAAACGGAATTGGTAAGCGTCAAAATCACACACAATACTTCCTTAGTGGAAGGGACCCTCCGAGATAGGGACGACCTCTCTACAAGGGACACTTGTTTCAACCCCATGCTAATACTTTAGTGTATTATTTGACCTCCGAGATAGAGACGACCTCTCTACAAAGGATAAAATCGTTGGCCCCATATAGTGTCCCTTGTTCAGAGGTTCCCCTGGATACCACCTCTCTCTCTCTCTCCTCACCTTTGTTCCTCGGCACTACTGATGAACTGATGGAATAGTCTGTGAACATTGCCACTCTCTCCTCTGGTGGGCTCCAATTAGGAATGACCCTCGATCCCACTTCCCCACCCCCTGCCTTTGTACTGCTGGCCTCCGATTGGTCAGTTTCTAGATCAATTATGACAATGCCAATAAATATATACTTCGAATGTAAACAAATTTGATATAAAAGTTTAATGGGAATGCGATTGGTAAAATATAGACAAAAATACAAAATTGATTGCATTCTTGTGGTGAAATTAAGCTCCAACATTAAAAAGGCAAATTGGTGTGATATTATGCCCTAGAGAAAACAGTGGGTCGAAATAACTCACCAGTGGATTCAGAGTCGGCGGTCTCCGTTGATCCTAATTGGTCGTTCCATTGCCGTGAGACGGAGAAATCCCCTCTCTCCATCCACCACACCCCTCCCTCTCCCTCCTCCCCTCCTCCTCCTCCACCTCTACAACACAATGTACATACACATACATACATGCCACACACTTTAGACTTGAGTATTATTACGAAAGATTGTGTAATACTAGGTGTGCCATGCTCTTGTGTTGAAATGGACCAACATGTGCGTAACTGCATAAGACACACTTGTTTTCAGAGTTAGACATTTCCTAATGGTACGTAATCTATAGCCTGAACGACCAGTGTACTTACATTTATTATTACAGGAGACCACACCCACATTTCAACATAGGTGGTATGAAAAACATAAAACAGCTCTGTAAAAATTTGACAAACCTTTCACTGTCAGTGACGTAGACAGGAACACCAGGTTCTCCTCCATTAGCCTACAGCAAAATCCAGCAACAACTCGTGAACAAGCTTTATACTATAATATCTTGAATGCCACATGTGATCACAGTTACAATGGAAGATGTTGCTAGAAACAGAAAATAAACTCCATTCTTGCACTGGGCCCTATTATTTTGTTCTATCTTTAGTAACATTTCTAAATCTAGCTCTTACGTACTGAATCATTCCTTTAAAGGTCGTAGTACCTGTAGAACAAAGTCGTCGTCCAGTTGGTTGTCAATGTCAAAGTTTGAGTCAGGATCGTCCAGACTGGCCACTATATCAGGGTCCCAGTCTGGCCGTGGACCTGTACATCACACATCTATCATGCATAAGACACATACTCGGGGGAAACTTCTGAAATAGCCATCTGGCAGCAATTGGCAGACAACTATAGTAGATTGCTTGATCCCCATACATACAAATTGTTCATATTCGTTGAGAAATACTTATGTGGAAAACCAGGACTTCCTGATTTTCTCACGCATCAGTTTTCCGGTCTAGAGTACAACGTAAGGCGTACCGGTAATTGGGAGGACTTTGCTCAATTTCCCTTCAACTTCACCTCAGAACCAAACACTACTGCCCGGCAGACCTGCAGGTGACTGGAGAGATATAGTAGGCAGTGTAACCACTCTACTGCAACTTTTGTTTCTGACAATGGAAAATTAAACGAGAGCTGTTTGACTACACATGGGATCTATTCAACTACTTACCACTTCATCAGTTATCGAATTAGAATCAAGGAGAGAAACTGTGTGCTTTCGGGGTTTAAAGAATGGTTGGTTGTAAAGGTCCTCCCTATATACCACAATTAGTGAAGATACTCTATACCTCTATGTGTGAATGTGAATAATAGGTTTATCAGCGTGACAGCACTAGCCCAGTTACTCTATCATATCCACACATTTAACTCCCGATCGCACGCCAGATAGGCTGAAATAGCTGTGCGATAGGATCACGTCTCACTCACCGTCCCTCCACCGCGGGGAGAGGGTGCAGTGACAGGCTCCAGGACGGCAGTGCCAGGCTCCCTGAGGTGCTGCAGGTAGTCATAGTCATCAGTGTAGTGAACTCCGTAGTAGCTCTGCTGGGCCAGTCGCTCATCCCTGGTGGTCGGGGGAACTCCGGACTACATGGAGAGGAGGAGGAGACGAGATGTGGAGAGGGAGGAGAGAGAGAGAGAGAGGAGAGAGAGAGATTAAAAACAGTCAGCATTAAGGTCTGATACTCTAACTGTCCATTTGAAAGCTGCACATAACTTCCATTAGTAAACGTTTGTGTACATTACAGTGGAACCTCAGAACAAGGGACACTATGAGACCAATGATTTTGTCCCTTGTCCCGATCTCGGATGTCAAATATTGTACCAGCATGAGGTTGAAACAAGTGTTTCTTCGGAGGTCGAAAGTAACAGCAATCATGGGGTCCTCTCCCCTTACCTTCTCTGGCTTGAGGACGTGCTGTGGTTCCCGAGGATCATCCAGCAGTGGGTCAGCTTGACTCCGCGGCACCAGGTGATATGTCGTCCCCTTCTTCTTGTCGATAAAAGGCTTCTTCTTACGTCCCTGGGTCACGTGAGCGTAGAGATAGAGTGTAGTTTTGTAAAGAGATAGGAGATGACAGTAGTCACGTACCATGACCGATGACAGACAGGCGGATTGAACAGAAGAACACAAATCGTGCGAAGAACGGTGCGCTTCGATTAGAGTACAACCCACGTGGTTAATTAGAGGGGCGGGGCACATTAGACTATTGCACAATCTCGTTGTAAGTCCGGTACGTTACAAACCGCCGCGTCCGTTGTAAAAACCCTATGGTGCAATAGGGATATGGGGTTTCCTTGACTATAAAAGAAGCCGAGGAGTCGAGAACGCGCATCAATCGCCGAAAACATCGCGGTCCACGTAGATTACACGCGCCGTCCTTCCATCCATTGCGAGCACCTGATCGTCAGCTCCATCCTTAACGTCCCAATCAAGCAGCATGGGTGACGCGGAGGTTGAGGACGCGGGTGCAGCAGCGCCGGAATTGAAAACCGCGGGGAGCGCAGAGATGGTATTCCAGCACGTGTGTGTTGACGCCAACGGGAAGAGGATCCTGTGGGACGTCTCGGGGAAGGCTCTGCCTGGACAGATGTTGGCCCTCATGGGTCCCAGCGGTAAGTCCAGACATAATGTCAACTCCTCCACAGGCTCACCTACCTACCACGCCCACGTTTTGCATCCAACTTTACTCGCGCATGCGTAAAGCGGTGTGCATTTAGTTGACCTCTAATAACACTCTGAAATGAATGTCTAAACAATATTTCATCAAAATTTCACCGTAGAACAAAGCGATTGACACATACCCAGCTATGTTTGCACGCCACTATATGCAACATGTAGCCACGTGTTTACAATTTCAGTGACCAGCAATTGCACAACTTTCTGTAGGCTCTGGTAAGACAACTCTCCTAAATGCTCTGTCGGGGCGGATGTCCCTGGCCAGTGGGAGAGTGGAGATAAATTCGGTTCCCCTGAGCAAGAGGCTGAAGAGAAAGATGAGCTACGTCCAGCAGACTGACGTGTTCTTCCCCAACCTAACACTCAGAGAGACACTGAGGGTGAGCAGAGCTGCAAGAGTGAGAGAGAGAGAGTGAGACAACATAACTGTGTTGGCATAGCAAAGGTGGAACTTATAGTGTTGGCAGTAGAAACACATATAGCTATCGTATTCTGCTCAGAAAAGTATAGACTTGGTTGTGCAGACAATTTGCAGTGTTCATACGGATTTCCTTCCTCTCAGTTTTGCACTAATTTTGTGCTCATGCAAACACCAACAAGGCCGCGAGGCAAAGGCAAAGCAAACAAGTCAACTACATACATTTTTTCACTGACGTTTCACACTTTAGTAGTACTTTCATTCCTGTCTTTGCAGTATTCAGCACTCATCAGGCTCCCTTCCACTTTCTCTTTTCGTCAAAAACTGGACAAGGTAACCAGGCCACTCCCATCTTGTCCATGTGTGTATTGTCTGTACTGTGTGAAGGTTGAGGAGATTATTACAACACTTCGTCTGCAAGACTGTGCCAAC